CTCCCTTTTCTGAGGGAAGACAGTGCTGGGCCAATGGGTGGAGGGGGCTGAGGGCCTGAGGAAGTAGAGGGTGGTCCTGACCCCCTAAGTCTCATGGGTGGGGTTGTAGGTCTCTGGGGATCCACAGCCTGCATTTCTCCTAATCTGCTTGACATTAACCTACGGCCAGTCTTTCCATACTCTTGGGGCAGTTTTCCAAAGTCCTGAGGCTGAGCAGCTGTGAGTCCAGGAGAAAACAGGGCTCCAGGGAGGGGTTGTGGCCAATGCCCCCAAGTCCCCAGGGCCTGGGAAGAACTGAGGTTGCCAAGCTCAGAGTGTGGTGGGGAGGGGGGGATCCTGGAGGAACAATCCCTGCTCTGTCCATTTGTTTCCCACAGACTCAAGCCAAACGAAACCACTGCCCAGGCCAGTTCTGCTTCCAACCAATCCTGGTGTCGTTCCCAGACTCCTCCTTCCTTTCTCAGACCCCCACTCCCTTTAGGATCCCAGAGTCCAGGCCTCCAGACTCCTCCTTCCCCAGAACTCAGAAGCCTGCGACCCGATTCCTCCTCCCTCCGATTCAGAGAGTCTGCACCCCCAATACCTTCTACTTAGGACGTAGAAGTTTGAGTCCCCAGCCCTCTTCTACCTTAGAACCTGAAATCACAGCCTCTGGTCGGTGTTGGGCGCCCCCTAGTGGAGATCAGAGTGGGCCTGTCCTGTGATTCACTTAATAACAATGGAAGAATTTATTTGGTCACTAGACAGGAGGGCTTTGCAAAGAACCCAGCTCCAAGGACACAGTCTAGCTGAGAGCCTCTCATGCTCCAACAGATGGGAATCTGCAGTATACAAGACTTAGACAAAAAAAAAAAAAAGACTTAGAGGGCAGATTGGGGTATTTTGTATCTAGAACTGAGAGCAAAGATGAGGTTATCGTGAAGCTGGAGAAGGTTAAGTTTCAAAGCCCCTTGAAACTTTGCTTGGTTTGCTTGGGCTTTCCGTGGTCCTCTATATCTAAACTTGTATATCATTTCATACTTTTTTTTTTTTTTTTAAAGATGACCGGTAAGGGGATCTCAACCCTTGACTTGGTGTTGTCAGCACCACGCTCAGCCAGTGAGCGAACCGGCCATACCTATATAGGATCCGAACCCGTGGCCTTGGTGTTATCAGCACCGCACTCTCCCGAGTGAGCCACTGGCCGGCCCATCATTTTATACTTTTAATTTTATTTATTTTTTAGCGGCTGGCTGGTAAGGAGATCCAAACCTGTGACCTTGGTATTACAAGGCTGTGCTCTAACCAACTGAGCTAACTGGCCAGCCTCAATTTTGTACTTTTAAAAAAGAGGCCCACAAAACATATAAGCTTCAGATCCACAAAATCTCAATCCCTGTCTGGGGGAATTAGTATGTTCACTTCATCCCTGGACTTAAAGCCTGGGCCTACAAATTCACAGAATCATTACTACTATTATTATCTATAATAGAAGGGGACCAGGCAAGAAGTTTTCTAAAGTTTCTTCTTGCCTTTGTGTTGGCCCTCAGGGGTAAGTTACTCACCTTCTACACTCATGAGAGCCTCATCCTTTCATTCAGCAATATTCCCAGGGCAGTGCTGAAGACACAGCAGTGTCCACAACAGTTCTGGGTCTGCCCGCCCAATGGGGAGACACACCCATCCCTGATAGTGATGACATGAAGTAGGCAGGTACAGGATGGGGGAGTTGAGGGGGGCTAGGGAGGCTGGAAAAGGGTGCCCAGCTCAGCCTGTGGCTCAGGAAGGGCTTCCTGGAGGAAGAGATATTACTACAGAGCTGAGACCTAGAGGAAAGTGAAGGAACAGCTAGTAAAATTATAAATATTTAGACTATCCCAATGCAAAGCCTGTTCTCCTTTCCAAGTAGAATGTAAAGTTCATTATAACAACGCACCCATACTGATCACTTTAGCATGCAGCCTGGGGCAACCTAGCTGCTTTACAATTCATGTTGTTACTTGGCCTTCCCAATAACCCGTGGAGCAAAAGGGTAAGAGAAATTATATAGTATTATAATCCCTGGTTTATAAAAGAGGAAGAAACTGAGGCTCAGAGGCACGTCACTTGTCCGTGATCATTTAGCAGGTCAAAGGGTTCAACAGCCCCTGAGTGTCTTCTGTCCTCTCTGGGCCTCCATGACACCTTCTCCAGGTCAGGGGTCTCCTAGTGTAAGAAAATGATCTAAATGATTCATTTTCAGAATTAATTCAGGCCCAGCCTGAAAGTTGTCTGACTGGTCCAGTCCATTCCTGGGGGCCCCTGAATAGATAAAGTTCTCCTTTATTGTTCTCTTCATTCCCTAGTGTTTCTCCTTTCACAGGGTTTCTGCAGGCCTTTTTCGCGGGCTTTTCCTGAGCCCTCACACAAAGAAATTTCTTACAAGTGGGTAATAAATCGGGGTAATCTTAGGCGTCATCCGGGAAGGTTGTGCACCCGGTAGTACTCTCGACCAATGAGGAGGCGGAGGCAAGGACTTGCGCACTAAGGAATAAATTACTTGCTACAGCCCTTTTCCGGGTGCCTGCCCTTCAGACACCCGAACCTTACAAGACCGTAATTAAAGTCTCGCTTCGCTGTACCTTGTGTCTCCGTGTCCATCCTTTGGCCTTGGCCGGGTGAAGGCATTTCTCACACTAGCTCATGTCTAGGCTTGGAGCTGTAGGAAGATACACAGCTACTGAAAAATTATGGCGTCTTTAGAGCCCATGAAGCCGAGTCCAGGGTTGCAAGGTTTGCTAGAAAGCGAAGAGCGCTAGCAGAAGGCGCATGCGCGCTAAACTAGGCTGCCCGAAGCCTTGTGAGGTAACTAAAAGAATCCCATTTGGAAGTGTGGCAGTGAAAACCTCGAAATAGGAACTCTGAGTGCACGGAGAGATCATAAAAACCTCAGGGGACTTGGAGGGGACGGCCGCGTTAGGAAAAAGAGTCAGAGGGCTAAGGCACTGGGCAGACCACCTCCTTTCCGAGTCCGAAAACGGGGGCTAGGCAGGTCCCTGTAACGCAGAAAGGGCGTGGTTCGAGCGGGGCATTTGGAAGCGGTACGGTGGCTGGAAAAGCTCAAGAAACATGGAACGGAAAGGAGTCGAAGACTCGGCGGGCTGATATGGACAGGATGGCCTGGAAGGCACATAAAACTCGAAAAGCTGCGTTAATTCGAGGGGGCGGAAGGAATGGGAAACGCACGTGTCGGCCGAGAAAGTCCTGGAATTCGCAGCAGGCAGCGTTTCTCCTAAGTGAAAACAAACAGGCTGCGGGCGGGGGAGGGAGAGTACGGTGGCCAGGTTGGTCCTCATAGCCGGAAGTGACCCTCCCCAGAAGCGAGGCTGAGGCGCTCTTGCCGGATACGGTGGCCCGGCTAGTCGGGTAACGTGTGAAGTCTCGCGCGATCGCACTAGTTCCGTGGGGACGGGGCGGGACTGGCGGGGCTGGCGGCGGGGGCGGGGACCCGGAGCGGGAAGATGGCGGCGGCGCAGGNATATCTCCTTTTTCATTTCTGATTTTATTTATTTGATTCTTATTTTTTTTCTTTGTTAGTCTGGCTAAAGGTTTATTGATTTTGTTTATCTTTTCGAAAAACCTGACTCTTTGTTTCATTGAGTTTTTATATCGTTTTTGAAATCTCTAATTTATTTTGGCTCTGATCTTCTGTTATTTGTCTCCTACTAATTTTGGGTTTGTTTTGTTTTTGTTTTTCTAATTCCTTGAGATGTGACATTAGATTCTTTATTTGAAGTCTTTCTACTTTTATGAAATGGGCATTTATTGCCATAAACTTTGCTATTACAACTGCTTTTGATGTATCCCATAGGTTCTGGTATGTTGTGTTTTAATTTTCATTTGTCTCCAGAAATTTCTTAATTTCCTTTTTGATTTCTTCTTTGACCATTCCTTATTTAGGAGTATGTTGTTTAATTTCCATGTATTTGTGCAGTTTCCAGTGTCTCTTCTATTATTGTTTTCTAGTTTTAGTCTGTTGTTGTTGGAATGATTTCAGTTTTTAAAAATTTGTTCACACTTGTCTCACCTAACATATGGCCTTTTCCTGAGAAAGGTCCATGCGCTGCTGAGAAAGATGTGTGTTCTGCAGCTTTTGGATGGTAGCGCCGTGGTGGCGGCCGGGGGAGGCGGCTCCGGTCAGGTACGGAGGCCGAGAGGGGCCTGAGGGGGTTCTTCTCCAGCTGGGGGGCCTCCCACGGGGCGTGTCTTGCCTCTTTTTGTGGAATCCCGTGCATAAGGGGCTCTTTGCCCAGAGGGACCTTGAATACCGGGCCCAGGCGGGGCCTGGCCGTCCGGAAGGCCGGACAGTGCCGGGAGCCGGGGCCCTGTTGCGCGCCGGTCCCCTGGACTCTCGCGCAGGGCGGCTACCAGGTTCATTGCTCGAGCCCGGAGACAGTGGCGCGGAGGAGAACACACTTGTACCGAGGCGCCCTGGGTTCTTGACTCCGCTATTTCTGGCTCCTAGACTGATAGATCCTAGAGTGGTCAGGCGTTCAGGGTCTCGTTCTTAGTGTCTGAGGTGTGAGTAATGATTAATTTGGAAGTTCTGTAGCTCTGGGGAAGTCAGGTAATTATTACAGTTTTGGGCACGGGCTGTGGAGGTCGACAGACCCATTTTACAGACGGGAATCCAAGAACAGTGAGACTAAAGCGCTTGCAGAAGGTCACCTAGGTTAAGCTTGGGATCCATTCATGTAGAAATTACCAGACATTGCTAACCCAGGGTAGTCCAAATTGGGATGGGTGTGCTTTTAATATAAACTAGTTCTATGGGGGAATTAGTCCAGGTGCTGATGACTTCTGGCCCTTTGCTGCCTAAGCTAAATTGAAGTTGCAGTGCATACCAGTTCAGGCAGCCACTGTTCAGGCATTTGGGGAGTCCATGGAGTGACAGCAAGGTGCTGTCGACCCACCCACTGGGATGTCACTGATATGTGGGAGGCAGCTCAGGGGAAAGGAGTGCAGATTGGGAAGGGAGAATGAAGCTGATTCTCTGTTTGACCTTGAGTAAGCTCCTTTCCTTCTTTGGGCCTTCATCTCTCCAGTGGTAAATGGAGAGGTTAGACAGGAGGGCCAACCCTGTGATGGGCCACAAAGATGGCTTCAGCCATGCTCCTGCTGTCAGGAGAGTGGGAGAGGAGACTGACATGTAAACAAAGAGTTGTAATCTTGGATGATTAGGGTGGTGACAAAAGTCTGTGTCAGGGACTGGGGGAGCCCATAGGAGGGACAAATAATATCACCTAGGGAGAACACCAGGACGAAATTTGTGTGATAGAGCCCAACATACCTGGTCTGAATCTTTTCAACATTCTTGACTAGGGCCTGGCTTCAGGGATAGCTCAGGAAGTGTTTGTTCAATTAGCACTGGAATGAAGACTCAGTCCCTTCACTGGGAATGAAGACTTCCCATTCTTGCCAAAAGGTCTTTCCCCTTCTGAGTTTCTGTTGATTATTGGGTGGGGCGGGGGGGGGCTCTGAGAGATTATGACTCAGGTTGTCTGAGTTCCCCAGAGATTCCACATGCACCCACATCATCTCTTTTACCACCTCTGCTTAAAAATGTTCAAGATTTATTCCTTTGCCTTTAGGATAAAATACAAATTCTTGAGCAGATGAAGGCCTTGCATGATCTGGCTCTTTTTCAGACTAGACTAGGATTTCCCAACCTCAGCACTGTTAATATTCTGAATTG